CCCAGCTTCCATCCCTCAGGCCTTCTCTGAACTATTGTCTGTGTCCATGAATTCTGCATATATGCATATAAATTCTTTGATTAATCTCTCCCCACCCACTCCTCCACTCTCACCTTCTCTCTGAAATTCATCAGTCTGTTCCATGTTTCTATGTCTCTGGATCTATTCTGTTCACCAGTTTATTTTGTTCATTAGATTCCACATATGAGTGAGATCATGTGATATTTGTCCTTCTCTGACTGGCTTATTTCACTTAACATAATATTCTCTAGNTCATGTGATATTTGTCCTTCTCTGACTGGCTTATTTCACTTAACATAATACTCTCCAGGTCCATCCATGATGTCCGTTATCATTTCATCATCTCCATCATCATTGTTAAACTCTCAGGTATTTTTTAATCTACTCCTGTGCCTGTCAAGGGCCAGCCTTGGTGTAGCTCCTAGAGCCAGACTGTCACATCAGATTAACACTACGTAAGCACTTTCTGCATCACATAGACAACATTTAATTTTCCCCCCATCCTTCTGTAGCAGAGTAATGCATTCTAGCAGAGTAATACTAGCTACCATTTCTTGAGAGCCTACAATGGACTGGCCCTGTGCTAATTACTCATGCACAGGGCACACCTGGGAAAGACAGGTGTGAATTTACACACCTCAGTGCCCTCATATATCATAATAACACCTACATTGTAGGGTCCTGTGAACACATAAGAGCTAAAATATAAGAAGCCTCAGCTTCTCACCCTGGAGTCTGACCTCTGGCTCTACCACCAACTAACTGCATGACCATAGGCAAGTTTCTTAACTTTCCAGCCTGTTTCTTCATCTGAAATATGTGCTAATAGTAATACCTATCTTATAGGTTGATATGATTAAAGGAGCTAATGCATTTAAAGGACTTGGTACAGAGTGCCTGGCACACAGTAAGTGCTTAATAAATCAGTTATAGTGCTTTTGATTTTTATCACTGTTATGGAAGAACCAGGAAGAGGAAGAAGATTCCACCAAGGAGACTGAGAAGTGGGCACCAAAAAGGTCAGGGAGTAAGGAACATGTGAGAAGGTGTCATGGAAACCAAGGGAAAAGAATTCCAGGAAGGAGGAAGATAGAGGCTAGTTTCTTCTGATGAAAGAGTGATTTTCATCTTAATGACCAATGAGAATGAAAGCAGAAAAAAAGAAAATAAACTCATAGTTTGAAATGAAGCCTTTTCTAGGCTAAGCCCATTAGTTCAATCTGAATGCTTGGGTATGGAGTCCATGTCTTCTAATTAGGGAGAACACATATTTCTTGGGTAAAGGAAAAGCCAGTGCCACACAAATTAAATAAAAAAAGAAATGTCAGGTTACATCAGGTTGGTGAAATAAAAATCTAGACAATCTCAAATTTACACAACAGAGAGGAGGATAGGAGAAGGAAGAAACAGGAGATGAATCACAGAACAGGTTTTCAAAGGAGTGGTCTATCCTGGAGTCCCAAGCTAACACCTGTGAAAAGGAAGGTAGTGGTATGGACAGTCTTTTATTTTTTTATTTTATCTTTCTATTCTACCTGGTACCAAAAAGAAATTATGGCGATATAAACCGTGTCTTTGGGTAAATATTCAACAAGTGTTTATAAACTTGAGAAAAGGTGAGCAGGAAGTAGAATGATATTCAAATCTGGACTAGATGAGGGAGATAGATATCTCCTAAGGGTAGATTTAGTGAGGGAAAGAGAGGAATTAAGGGTTAAATCTTATGAGCTGAGAAGTGTTGGGAGCCCCTGTGGCAGCCTGAGTGGAACTGCCTCTTGCCTGGGGGGTCATGGAGAGATCTCCTTTGGCTCTGGAGAGACTGAAGTGGCTGCCAGAGTCCCAGAGGTGCCCCAAAAGATGCAAGGAGTGGCTTTCTCAAGTGTTTGCTCCTAGACAGTTCTCATCTAAGGGGCCCAAGGCAGAGGGTCCCCTCCCAATCTCCTTCTGGCCTTGAGGGTTAAGGATGCTGAAGCTTAAGGCAGACAAGGAATGTTGGGGTGGGGAGGGGTGATGGCAGAGCACACAAGCAGAGCCTCCATCCCCCCTCCACCAAGAGATGAGTGTAGCTGGGAGGGGAACAGGGAGGGGGAAGTCAGAAGGTCAGATTGTGGGGTCATTGATGGAGCCTGAGCAAGAAGCCAGGGAAGATCTGAGGAGCTGTTTGTGCAAGGAGAAATCCTTCAAGGCAGGTTTATCTGGGCTGCCATGCCAAGAACCTGCCTGGCTTCAGCGCCCCCACCCCAGGCCCCTTTGTCCCTGTAAGCCCATCAACTGCTAGCATAATTAGAACCAGGCTTCCTGTTCCTTTCAGTCTCCATGAGAGGCTCCCAGGTCACGGTGACCTTAAACACGCTCCCTCACCCACACAGCTCTGCTACTCCCCTGAGGCATCATCTCCCAGTGCTGCACACTCTGTCCTCTCAGCTCTGTGGAGTACCAACTTCCTGCATAACAAACTCCTTCAGGTCCTCAGATTTGCACATTCAATTCACTCCCCACCTCTTGCCTTAAAAGCAATCATTCCCACACCCCCAGCCTTGTTCTGCTCACAGTGAAGGGACTTATGCACCAACAAGAGACATAGGTACCTTTGACTTGGGGCCTGAGGTCACACATGTCATTTTTCATTTTAAAAATCCTCACCGCAGGATATTTTTTTCCGTTGCTTTTCAGAGAGAGTGGAAGGGAGAGAGAAAGAGAGGTGGGGGCGGGGGGGAGAGAAGCATTGATGTGAGCATCGATGTGAGAGAGACACATCGATTGGTTGCCTCCTGAAAATGCCCTGACAGGGGCTGGGGATCAAGCCTGTAACTGAGGTAAGTGCCCTTGGCCGGAATTGAACCCTGGACCTTTCAGTTCAAGGGCTGACGCTCTAACCACTGAGCCAAGCTGGCTAGTGCACACATGTCCTTTCTTTAGTCACCCTCCAGTATGAGATCAGGAGAGGGGACAGCGAAGGTTCCTGGGAAAGCCTCTCACTTTGTCCTCAAGAATGCCCTTCACTCTGCTAAAATGGAGGATCCTCATGTTCCCTCAGGTGTCCTGGCCACTAGATTGCTTTTCATCCCTTCCCAGCTATTCTCAATTCTCAATTTGGTGTGGGGTTGGCTTAGAGTCCTGGGCTGGGAGTCCAGTGAGTAGCTGCTCTCTACTTTCCTTAACTGGGGATTGGGGAGAGGGCAGTTTCAGCCCATAGGAGAGACTCCTGGCTGTTGTCTATGATGTCAGCTAAAAGCAGCAGCAGTAGTCTAAGAAATCCACCCAAAGGAGGGAGAGCTGCCCCTCCCCAAAGGGACCAGGAATGGAGCCTCTGGACTCCCCATTTTGGGGTGTAACTTCAGCATCAGACTCCCCAGCCATCAGACTCCTCTGGATACATTACAGGAGCAAGCACTGGGGCATTGACAACTAGTGGGCGCCATAGTTGGGCTCAGTTGTAGAAAGGGGTTCTGCCCATTTACCTTTGGGAAATATTTCAGCCGATTTCTTCCCTTTTCCTACCTGCAAAGTGAGATTGCTAAAAACGCCACCCCAGGGTACAACCCCACCCCTTTATAACTTTTTACCATATTTCTCTTCTTCCCTTTTCCTTTACTTCTTAAAATAATACCACAGAGACATTAAAATAGATGCTGATATATATTTATTGATATACAAAGAAGCCCACAACATAAATTGTTTGGTGGAAAAATACAGACTATAGAACAGCACTTATATTTGAACACTTTTATCTGTACATGTATGTATCTGGGTACATCGGTTTAGGGAAATATCTAGAAGGATATTCATCAGAGGGTTGACAAGGATATTCATCAAAGGGTTGACATTATTATAAGGGTAGAAGATTTGGTGTAATTTGTACTTTACTTTTTGTACTTTTTTATTGTTTGAAGATTTAACAGTGAGTTATACCACTTTCACAAAGAGAATAAAGCCATCAAGGAAATGGGCACACACAGAAAATAGACCCTTAGGCAGCAGAGGCGGGGGTGGGGAGCAAGGACAGAGGACAGGCCATCTTCCTCCACTGTGTTGGTATCCAAGACCCTTTGTGGATTAATTCATGCAGTTAGAAGCCCCCTCCCACAGTTTTCCCATCACTAGACTCTGAATATAGCTTAAGGGTTCATTTAAGGCTGGGGGCTAGCACCTCACTGTATTCAGAAGGGTCATCAGGTTCATCAGGAGCCTCTCTTGACCCCTCCTCCAGGTCCTTCAGGGTGATTATCAAATTCTCAAACACCTTGGCCTTGTTGCTCTCTTTGTCACAAGTTTCCTTGGAGTGCCCCTCCTTGCCACAATATGAGCAGTGAGTTGTGTATTTTCGCTTCCTGGCTCTACGAAAATCCCCAGGATGATCAATCTTATCTCCAGAACCCCCACTGGTGGAAGGAAATTGAGCCTGGGGACTGTCGGGAGAATCAATGACTACCACTTGGTCCTGAGGTCTGGCCCTGCGTCTGGGGGGAGGAGAACCCGAGGATGAAAGTGGAGGGTCCTGAGACTCCACCAGGATTACATCTTCATCGGAGTCATCCATAGTGTCATCTATCTCTATCACGTTGCAGTCAGCATTGCCGATCACTATCCGTAGGGCACCCTGAAATGCCACTGGGCTGGTTGCTCTCTCCACCATTGACTCAGATCTCCTGACCCGCTTCTGGTTAATAAAAGTGTCATCCCAATCCTCTTCCTCCCTTATCATTCTGATTAACTCCAGGAAATTGGGAAGACGGTCCTGCTCATTTGCATACATCCTGAGAAGACGCTTCAGCCTGTAGCGTAGGTCCCCATTCAGCTCAGCCCCTATAAGGAGTTGGTGCAAGCGGGTCTGGTTTGCATCTTTCTCAGCTATGATCCCTGCCTGAATAGCGTTCTGGAGCTGCACCTCTAAACGGATCACATAAAGGGAGACTTTCTCCCCTTGTGCCTGCAGGGTGTTAAAAAAATTATCCTGGGCAGTCACATTGCTTCCAGACTCCCCAAACACCAATTTCATTGAGTGCAAGAAATCTGCCACACTTAGGTTGGGGTTGGCTGCCTGGAGCAAATGCATGACCTCCCGGGCCGGGCCCCTAAGGGTTTTCATCAGGCGCTTCAGCTTCTCTTCCTCAGACATATCCCAATCTGGCAGGACCCCATTTACTTGGATCAGCCAGTTTTCAAAGGTTTCTTCCCCATGGGCTGGCACCGCCCTCCCTGAGAACAACTTCATGTTTCTCTCTGCCATGTTGGCCATTAAAGGTCTAAGTCTACTCCCCAGGGACCTCAGCATAGAATGGGCCCACGGTGGCAAGGGTGGGTTCTGCCGCCGGCTATTACCCACGCGTGCAATGATGCTAGCCATGAACCACAATGATGAGGTATCTGAATATCAACAAGATGTTTGGGCTTTTTGGAAAAATCTAATCTGCAGGTGTACCAGGGGTCTCTGCCCTCCTCCTGTAAAAAAGAAAAAAATAGCGGGAGGGGGTAATAAGAGATTAATGAGGCTGCAGCTGTTTTCTCTCCCTTCCTGAATATCCTGCAGTACATTTTATATCTGCTGACTGCCCTAAAAATGTCCTCCAGGAGACAGGCAATTACAACCTCCGGGAGCCAGCAGGTGTGTTGGTGTTAGCAAGGAGCTTTGGACAGCCACATTTATTCCTCCAGTCCTTCAAGAGGGACAGCAACTGTTGCTTCTAATTCTAAGTGTAATAGTGTATGGAGCTGATGTTGGGCTCTCAAAATAGAGCACAGTGGTCACAGATTTGTGTGAATAAATAAGGTCTCATTAAGCTCATGGGTCTCAGGTCTCAACCACACCCCCTTCTCAAAGTGTCTCCCCCCTCCCATTATCTCTTAGATTCTTACCGGAACTCAGGAACAATCGAGCGCCTTAATTTCACTATCAGCCTCTGCAACTGGTGGCCTCCATGAGGAAGCTCGTCTCCAGGGTACAGTAGATCTCGGTCTACCTGGGATCACGGTTCCAGGACCTCAGGCGTCAAGACTGTGCCTACTCGGAGGGCAGGGCAGGGAAAGGAAGGGTCAGAAACAGACTCATCCCTCCCCCACCTCCACCTCTTGTTGCCTCTGCTGTAGCCAAGGGGAAATTCCCACCTCCTGAATACAAGCCTCAGCGACCCCCATCCCATTACATTTCCCCTTGGAAATCGTTGGCCTACCAGTTCTGCAATCAGCCGCACAGAATACAAGTTCGTCTTCGTCTTTGATGCCCTGCCACCGAGAAAGGGAATAGGAGTTGGACACGCACAGCTACATATCCCTCCCCCAGATGAGATGAGAGGATGAAAAGGGGGTTCAAGACAGCTTGCGGTTCTCTTCTCCTCGCCCCTTGCCTTCCTCCCCGGAAGACACCCCCCTCTCAATCTAGGCAAATCCTACCCACTAGGCAGCATCCTGTGGCAGCCCACCTCCTCCCTCAGCGCAGCCGAGCCACAGGAGTGCTCCTTGCCCAGCCTCACAGTTCTCGATTTTCCAAGCAGGGAGCCGCCCAGTCCTGACGGGGCTTCCCCTCCTCTGTCTGCGCCGGGGAATCGTGCCCCCTTTCTTTACCTGTGCTCCGCGGGTGGGCAGCGGCGTGACTGCTCTGTATGGAACCTTTGGCCTCTGCGGCCCTGCAAGGGGAAAGGATGGATGCGTCCTGGGCGGCTAAACAACCCGGGGCTGCTGGGACTGAGCTGCTCCGCACCGGCGCCAGCTGGGGGAGCCGAGTCAAGCAGCACTGTTCCCACGGCAGCAGCTGCTTTTAT